TGCACAGAGGGGGGTCAGGCTGGACAGGCAGGGTAGGTCGTGGCTTGTTGAACAGTACTACGGCTTCCAGAGATAGACTTTTGGTATGTTTATGTCAAAGCGTTTAATATATCACTTGTATTGGGATGTTGAGGCATTCCCTGGAATATAACACAAGTGTTTTTGAAGTGAATTTACGCTACCCACCGTTTAACCCATAAAAATTGGACTGTCCAAAACAGTATTATAGGAAGCCTGTACAAGGGCTATGTGCTGCCTTCCTGGACTAACACAATTCTGAACCCTTACAACGTATTATAGCAAGTGCTAATGATGCAAAACACGCCTTAGGAGTAAGACGTAGAATAAAGGTTGACCCGAAATAGATGTGGAGCTGAACCAGGCTGAATACATTTTGTCAGAAATAAAAAGGAGCTTGTGAGCCAGTACAGAATGTGAAGGTCATCTTGAGCGTTACTTGTTAGCTGAAGAAGGCTACACCCGCGCATTAGACCCTGTCTCTATAAACACTGCAAACTTTCCAGCAGATCTAAGTTCATGGCTTTGCTTCCATTACATTATTATTAACCAAGAGGTCCACAGAGGCAGCGAGAGTCATTCACTTCCAACTCCCAGTTACTATGGGAACCATCTGCGTAGTGCAGGTCATCTGACGTTCAGGCTGGGAGATGGAAGCTAAGGAATTGAAGGAAATGGAGATCCATGAGAGCCGGCAAGCTCACTTTCTTTTACTGTGGGCAGAGGTGGAAGCGGATTGAGATATGACGACGTCACAGCAACAATACGGCCTTTCCTTTTCAAACCAACTGCAAGTGTTAACGCCCTATCTGAAATTCACTTCATATGGAATATACCATAAAAAGCTTATATAAAACAACACTATTAAGACCAATTCAAGCTGTATTATCTGAGCTTCTATCCTGTCAGTCAAACTCATCTTTCAATAATACTCCTGATGGGCTGATAACTAGCAGGTCGTTTTTGAAATGCATGAAGTAGGTAAAATTACCCTTTCATTTTCATGTAAAATATCACACAACAAGACATACAGTAAAAAATATACTTAGGTCTATCGAATAGAGTGTATGATACTGGAGTCATTCACCAACACT